CTTGGCCATTCGTGTTTTCAAATTGTTAACTTCACATCAGTCTGTTCTTTTCATTCCTTATAAAATATTACTAGCAAACCAGTGAACCAAATGTTCACCAAAACCTGATTTCTCGAAAACCGGAAGTGCTACGTTACTCAAATCCGGTTTGTAGTCTTATCAGACTATTCTTAACTTATAACTTAAATATTCTCTTTATCTATCTCTTACGGTTTGGCCGCTGTAACAGCACCACAGACGGACGGACTTGTCTAATAGATAAGAGATAAGGACAGACTTGTGTCAAGTTGACAAAATGGCAAATACGAATAACCAAGTTAAGTGCCGGTATAAAAAAAACAGCCTGTGTACAGAGTACGCATGTCAGAAATGAAACGAACTTTCATAATTATAATTATAAAAATATACAATAACATAATTTAAAAAACAAAAATAAAATATCCGTTATTTAAAATTGTAGCATTAAAATCTGACGACCAAATCGTGACGCGACCGCGAAAAGTTACCTTAAGAAGTTTCACTAAAATAAAAGAATTGACAGCATCTAGCTAGTTAGCAAATCCTTGGTCCATGGCCTACGCTCTCATTTTTTTTGCTGCGAAATTTTTGAGTATGCCTAAAAATTTGAAATTTAAGGAATGAAATAAAGAATCAACTGCAAAATTACAAATAGTAAATACGAACAGCCATGTGTATTCGCGTTGTGTATACAATATAAAATTTTCTGTAATAGATAATAATAAAGATGCAGCAACGCAATAATACATATAACTTGTCCGAAAACATTGATAGAACAAATTGATTACAATTGTGGTAATTTTATATTTATTTTTTATAAATTGCTCATCAATGTTGCCATATTGAGGTAAAAAGTGAAAATTTTATTACATCGCTTAAAAAAATTTCGTTCGTCTTTAGCACTTCGTATTACATTTATGATTGTTATTTAAAAAAAACAGCCAATCAACAAGCATAAGTACTGAGGCTACGCGGGCGGCCCGGGTTCGTATCCCAGCCGAGGATGAACTTTTTTTTATACTTCCATGGTGGTTTCATAAAACCCCACAATGTTTTCTCGAATGTGTTCTATAATATCATCATTGATGTGACAACGATAACCAACCTGTTTTCACTGAGAATATTTCTAATGGCGCGTATACACTTGGTCGCTAGCCCGACTACTAGTGCCAATGGAATTCGGGTAAGACTAAGTTTAATGGACGGAGTCAAGTCGAGTACGCCCGTATCCGGGTAATTTTCTTTTTGTTTACCTGACCCCGCCTGTATTCCAGTGTAAATATTGCTTCGGGTGCCCGAATTCGATTAATGTCTTTCATGCACCTTAATACGGGCTTACGACCAAATGTAATTGCGGCATAATGATATTGGTATATCAGACAATGACGAGACACGAAGCAATATTGCTCATTTTATATAAAAAGTGTTGGACAAAAGCTCATCAAACATCTAGTCTCGTAAATAGACTAGTTAGACTGTAGTTACGATTGTAAATTGTATTTTGTTAAATTTGACGTAATAATGGTCTATCAGCTGCCATTTATCTGATGCTTCAATCACTATTAAATATGTCTATAAAAATCCGAAGCGACGGAATTGTTGCCATCACGAAAAATTGCTGTAAATTGTCCAGTTGTAGATCATGAAAATTCACTAAATCAATCGCCTACAAAATAATAGTCAAAGTATCCTATTAAGATGAACTATTATTAACTTACGTGGTGTTTTCGAACTTAAATATCTGCTTGTTTTAGGTAGGGTCTAAACAACAGATGTAATATTCCAAATCAAACAAAAACATCCTAATTCCTTGGTTGTCTGAAATGAAGTTGAATCTAATTGTAAAATCTAAGTTACATTCATAAAAACAAATTGTAATCATGAGTGTATGGTAATGTAACATGTCGTATAACAGGTTTCATTTGACGCTCTTGCCCCTATTTTACATCAAAAAAACAAGTCACATACTAGTTTTACACCAAAACTAGTGGAATACTTGTTGTGACACTATTTCGTTTACACTGCACAGACAACGGGTATCTTTACAAGTATAAATCACTATTTACTTCACATATTTTGTGTATTTAACAGGTTTGATGCAAGTATTGCATCATTTTTTAAGCATGTTTAAAAAAGTGTGAATAAAAAATTTACATATTGTATAAAATATGTTACTTTGGTTTAAACGAATGGTAATAGGTACTTTACATAAATTACCACCACCACTGAGTGGAATCGAACTTGGAGTCTGTAGGTGCAAATCTCAAATTTGCCTAAAGGGGGTCGTTACCAGAAAACCTAAACACTGGCATGATTAGAGAATCATGCCAGATGAGAGAGGTTTAGAGAAACCTAAACTTAAATTTGGCAACAGTGCATTCTTGTCAATCTCTATACAGAGTAAAAAGGAGAGACTAATGTTAAATTTAGTTTTAAGTTTAGAGAATCATGCCAGAATCGATACCACTTTCGTTAAATAAGAAGAGTGGTCAAGACTTTTTAATATACATACATGTTACATTAACTTTAATTTTTTAAACGATCAACGAGAAAATATGGAATGAGTACTCTTTTTTACTAGTTGATGATTTTTGTATATAATTTAAGAATTGTACTAAATAAATTGTTAAAAATGAGTATTATGGCAGGTTGTGTATCTTCCTTGCAAACACTGCGCTGTTGTATAGAAAGAACGATTCTTTTTTTATATTTTGTGATTTGATATTTTTTGACATTAATAAAGATGCATACTTTTATAAAATTTATTGTTTTATTTAGTGAAAATGAAACGCAAAGTCAACAGAAATCATATTTATTAGCAACTAGGTAAATAAGTTAGAAAGAAATTACAAATAGGACTAGTAAAATTAGTCTATTACATTAAAATAAGTACATTATCAAATGCCATATGGACCACAGCAAGAAATTGAGTTCACAGAATGTTGATTCCCAACATGTTGAATTTGCAAAATAGAGTTTATAAGTCAATAATTTTCAAAACAAAAGACTTAAAAATTAAAATTCACATTAAAAAAAAGTTCTCGATTCGAGAATTTAATGGTCCAACTGAGGTAATTGCAGTCACGTAAAAATATTAAGTCGTTATACAATTGATATTAAAAATAAAAAAAATATAAAAATAATTCCAAGACACCGTAGAAATGGAATGTCATCATAAAATGCCATCATCACAAAATAGTCAAGGAATATCAATAACATTTAATAACAAACTATGTTAAAAAACCGTTAATTTCACTATTGTCAGTAATTATTGAATTTATGGGCCGATTCACATCGGCAGGGCAGCGGCTCGTTCTTCCACTCAAATAATTTGAAAACTTTATCTATGTAGGTTAACTTAGATGTTTATAAAGTACCAGAATCACATAAAGAGGTCCTGCAGTGTCCGGAGCGGGCAGCCGCCCGACTTCTTCGAGTTGTTCAATCGATACTGATCTTTTAAGTGTGCAGATAAAGTTTAAAATCATTTCACACTCAAATTGCTCGCCGCATCGGTGCAAGCCGCTGCCATTCCGTGAATTGGTCCTGCCCCCGTAACATGAGGACTATACTTTACATTATATCACGTTTTATATCGGGTCTAACTGTCAAACTCCATACTAATTTGACACTTGAGCGTGATAATAACGCGTTAACACTGTTCACAATTATAAATCATTTGAGCATGTTTACTATTGCTCAAATGATTTATAATTGTGAACAGTGTTCATTTCGCACTCTCATTACTGAAGAAGGTACCTTTCTATCTTAGGCGATTTCCTCACTGGGTCGGTGCGGGCTCACCCATTTTCGTTTCTGTAGGGAGTCAGGCGCGGTCCAAAGGAGGGGGTCACAGGGGACATGACCCCCCCCCCCCCCCCCCCCAAATCTAAGGTGTTTCATGACATTTGGTACAAAGTAACGTCTTATAGTACAGATAAAGAAAAAATTGCGAAAACCGTGAATTTTCAGTTACATCAATTATTATATTAATAATAAAAAATATTTTTGAAAATTCAGGTGTGTACGGAACCCTCGGTGCGCGAGTTCAACTCGCTCTTGGCCGGTTTTTTTTTTATTAGTGTAATGAGTGACCCCCTCCAAAATTTCAGGCTGCGACCGCGCCTGTAGGGAGTCTGTACAAATTATTTGCATATAATGAAATGAGAGCTTCCTCACTGAGTAGTTTCGGTACAAAATCTTTACCGAGCCGATACACAGCTCTCTGTACCAAGTGCTTCCGGATGCCACCGAACCATTCGACTCGCTCGTCTCGTCACTCCCGTAAACAAAATCGTATCAAATAATACGAAACTACACTGTGGCGAAACCGATCAGGATCAACTGCACACATTCTGTGCAGTGACAACGAAACGAGCCCCCACCGACCCGGTGAGAAAGCTGCCTTATAAAAGACGAGGTAAATGTGACAGAAAAAATGTTTTACGCTGTCTCCTTGTCTTAATCTAAGGCTGTCTCAAATACCTTCTTAAATATGACCAAGTTATGCTAAACAAAAGACAATCCCCATTTTTAATAAACGAAGACTAAGCTTGGATTAGTTATTCCATGTTTAAGTGATATGAACAAAACCAATTGGTCAATAAATCTTATTATAATTAAATAAAACTAGTTTTTACGGGTTAATGCACGAAACTTTATTTATTTATTGACGTTTCGCAGCTTTTTCAGGTCTGCATCGTCAGAATAATGATTTTTTATTTAAAATTGTCGAGCTACCTTCGAAAGACTTATATTGAGCGTTCGGTTATTTCATTGGAAGATTTTTAAAATTTTATTGTCTATGTATGAATTTATTATTTAATTTACTTAATAAAGTATTTTATTTAAAATTCTTGTTTGTAATTTTGAGTTTATTTATTTATTTGACCCTAACTACCGTAAACTACCACCGGTTCCAAAATTGGGAGACCTTCCTAAGAAGAACCGTAAAAACTAGTTTTATTTAATGAGTGATGTGCGTGAAAACCTAAGAAACAAATACTTATTATAATTATTAAATAAACATGGCGTAACTAGCTTAAGCTTATTCCTAGTTTATTAATAAGAGGGTACGGATTTCAGTCTTTTATTTGTAATTGAGTTTAGCATCAAGTAAGTATACTATAGCAGCAATATTTATGTATTATGATTCACTGCTGGGTGTGGTATGATCGCTGCAAGGCGTCATGAAGGGCGCGCGCACATTGCTCCAGCTGCCACGATGACTCCTTAAAATTTTATCATCATAAAAAAATATTGGTGTCGATTCTGGCAACATACTCAAAACTTAAAACTCAATTTAATATCAGTCTGTCCATTTTATTCTATATAGAGAATGACAAGGATACACTGTTGTCAAATTTAAGTTTAGCTTTAGAGAATCATGCCAGAATCGACACCACTATCAGCATAATCAGTCTAATTATGTCCCCACTGCTGGGACTGCAGACCAACCCCAATCATCATCATCATCATCATCATCAGCCTATTAATGTCCCCACTGCTGGGGCACAGGCCTTCCCTATGGATGGAATAGGGAGATTGGGCCATGACCCACCACGCGGGCCCAGTGCGGATTGGCGGGTGCTAACGACTGCAGATGCAGCCGGGATCAACGGCTTAACGTGCCTTCCGAAGCACGGAGGAGCTCGAGATAGTAATTATTGGTCACCCATCCAATGACCGACCACTGCGAAAGTTGCTTAAGTTCAACGATCGCAGCCGAACGCGCTAACCACTTGCGCCATCGAGCTCCTCCCCAACCCCAATAGAGACCGCATACAATGACATCTTCTTGTGCTAAGTTTCTAAAGTAATATTGCTTAATTATAAGACACGCCCCGACTTAATTTGTCATTCAATCAATACGCGGCTTGCCCTCCCCGCACGCCGCCAACTTTACCAATTTTTATGTCAAACAAAAATTAATAATGTGGACGCCACAGAATTCAGAAAGAGGTTAGAACGGCCTTGTGGGCGGGGCAGGCGCGCCACAGTTATGTGTGAGCAAATGCTCATAACTTGACCAAAACTTGAGTCTGATTGCGTCGTTACTGGCGGGTGGAAGTGCTGTATAGTTCGATTGTTTGATATCGCGTCTTTTGATTGGCTATTACCTATTAGGTAGTAGTGTAGTTGGGGTGAACCGGCGACATCCGTTCCCGTACAAACAAACGGTCTTCATAGACCGTGATCATTCACCCTTCTAATCTCTTTCTGTGTTCTGTGGTTCACGCTAGAGGAGGCGCTATGTGGTTGGGGTTCGTGCTCGGGCCTTCGATGGATGGAAAAGGAAAAAGGACCAAGACCACCACGCAAGCCCTGTGCTAATGAATGGGTGTTTGTGGCTGTAGATGTCCAGAACTAACGGCCTAATGTGCCTTTCGAAGGAGAGGCAGCGGTAGGGAGGTGGCGGCGTGTCTCCTGCGGGGGAGCTGCGGGCCGCTATATATGATCAACTCACCGGTGTCGCGGCGGTGGCGGGCCGCAGAGGCAGCGGTAGGGAGGTGGCGGCGTGTCTCCTGCGGGGGAGCTGCGGGCCGCTATATATGATCAACTCACCGGTGTCGCGGCGGTGGCGGGCCGCAGAGGCAGCGGTAGGGAGGTGGCGGCGTGTCTCCGCAGGGGGAGCTGCGAGCCACACGAGCGACGCGACGACCCCACCCACTCCTGGACCAAGGATTCACGATTTTTATCAAAACATGGCACTATGAGATTTTAGCGGACGAAACTCATCATAGTTTTGCTGCGAGCAGTATGAAATTAGGAAAAGGAGCTGCGAGAAATATGGTTTGGTTTAAGACATTTATTTCTCAAAACAGAACACAAAATTCACTTACATGAGAAAACAAAAGAATAATCCAGTACGTGTGTTATACGAGACGTACGAAATAAACAAACAATTTACACACAGAAAAAGTGTCTAGGGATCAACATATATTTCTGCAATAACTTTTCTCCTGATTGATATTAATTAAAATTTTCTTTAAGGATTCATCAAATAAAGTGTTTTCGTTTGTCACAGTAACGATAAACCAAGTCACCTTTGCATTAATAAAGAAATTTGCCATTTTCCTAATAAAGGGATTTTTGACATTTGAACCACTAACACAAAAGTTCGAAAAAAAGACTGAAATAACAGTTTTCTCTAAAATTTTATTGGGTAACTTAAACAATTAATAATCCGTATTTCTACCGCGAACACTAACAACACAAGAACATCGGTTTGGCATACTCAAAATGAGTTCATCCAAATCACGCTGTGGAATGGCCGCCCATGTTCGTTGCAACAACAAAAAAAGGTCTTCTTGCGACTGGATACCCTCCATATTCGGCAGAGCTCTTCTCTGTAGCATATCCCATGCATGCTCAATCGGGTTCAAGTCTGGCGACTGAGCAGGCCAGGGCAGGACATTGATGTTAGCTGCGGCGAGAGTCTGTCTTACAACTCTTGCGGTGTGCGGTCGTGCATTATCATGCATTAACTGAAATAAGGGACCGATTTGCACTTGTAGAGGAACGATGACGTCTGATACAATCGTCTCAGCATAAATTTGAGCGTTGAGGTTGCCTCTGATCCAAATCAACTCAGTTCTTCCGCCGATCCAAATACCCGCCCATACCATGATGGTTCCACCACTATAAGGATGGACTTCCTGGCAGGATTTTAATCGCTGTTGGCGTCCAGGGGTTCTCCAGTGTCGTATACGTCTTGTATCCGGTCTCATACCAAAACGAGACTCATCAGAAAAGCACACGAAACGCCATTGTTCTTCTGCCCAATTTCTGTGTTCAAGAGCCCATTGATATCGAATCCTACGATTGTGCATTGCTATAGGTGGTACCCGTAGCGGTCTTCGGGAATGAAGGTTCACTTCATGCAAGCGGTTTCTGACTGTTTGGTCGCTAATTAAGTTCCCTGAAGAGTGATGAAGCCTCACGGCTAACATCATGGCGGTTATTGTTGGAGCTCTTCGAGTTAAGATTTGAATGTATCGGTCTTGTCTCCGTGTGGTGCAGCGATACCGTCCTCCATGGCGCTCAGTCACGGTACCAGTGCTTCGGTATCGTGTCCAAAGTCGACTGATAACACTCTCGACTTGTATTCAGAGCTAAAGCCACAGTACGTTGCCGGGAACCAGCTTCTATCATTCCCACGGCTCTGAGCATTTCTTCCCTGCTTAAATGACGTCGCCGCTCCATAATAACGTTGGTTTTAATCAGTAGTAGGGAAACAGTAGCACTAATAATGTCTTCAATGCGTTGTATGTTTTTATAGGGAAAATATTGACAGCTGATTTTCATCTTTTACTCGAATTTGATTCACAGTTCCTGATTCAAATTATGAAATGCACCAAAAATGATCCATATAAATTTATAAAATCATAAATTTATTACAAAGCCACATCTCAATCTCAAGAAATCCGCATAAAAATGCTTGATCCCTAGACACTTTTGATGTGTGTAGTTGGACATACACACACTTATATCACAAATCATTATTGATTTTTTTTTTTACTAAATCTGATAATAAAAATAATATGAAACTAGGAAACACCCTTACATCATTACTTTTTTTTGGTTTCCTCAAATAATGGTGTCGATTCTGGCATGGTTCCCTTAACCTAAACTTAAATTTGACAATAGTGTATCCTTGTCATTCTCATACATGAAGATAAGGAGAGACTGCTGTTAAATTTAGTTTTAAGTTTAGAGAATCATGCCAGAATTGACACCAATATCCTTGTTTAACAATTTAATAAAAATACTCACCGCTACGGAACACTGAAATGCATCCTCCTTGCCCAATCGTTGCGGCGGGGTAGGAACCGAGGAAGGGCTAGCCATCTCGCTCCCACTCGTGGCCGAGCACATTCTCCGTCTCTCTCCCATTCTGGGCGTGCACTTGGAACAGCCGGCTGTCTCTCTCTCGACCGCGCGGCATCTCCTCCGTCTGACAGAGACGCAGTTAGGGCAGCATGCGTCTTCCTCCAACTTTATGCTGTCGTGGTTTCGACTAGTTTTTAATCTCTGTTGTAACGAGTCTATTAAGAGTTCCTGTTCTTTTATTTTCCTTTCTTGGGTTCTAGAATTTAAGACGGTGAGCGGAATTAAATATTTAAGCGAGTAGTATGGATAGCCCTAGCGTCAACATCAACGATAACGGAAGCTATCTAAGGCTCGAGCACGAATTTTTGACAGCTCCGTATACAAATTATCGCATCCTCAAAGTACGAAAGATAAACAGCGCCCATAACGGACGTAAGAACAAATTTGCATGCAAAGGATTCTGCATTCTTGCATGCTCATTCCCCAGTCAGGATACATATATTCAGTCATAATATTGAATGCCACAGAGTGCACAGCTTTGAGAATATGCTAGTTGTGTTCGGAGTCAATTAAAAACTCTCGTTAGGCATTTGTTGACATACGGACAACTTGAGGAACCGTGGCCTACTACAGAATGTATTAGATTTGGAGGTTATAATTATTACACTTAATCGTAAACGATGTACACTTTATCGGCGACACCATGAAATCCGGCGTACAAACCACTCGACCGCGGAGGTCGTCATTATATAATTTCAGAAATTATCTATCTATAAATATGATATAAATGCAAGTGATAATTATTATTAGTATTGACGTGACAACGTCTTAAATTAGGTTGCGGCTGGGAGTCACTTATGAAAAAGTGTAACGCTCGGTAACGTTACGATGAGTCTCTCGTGTTAAGTTTAAGTTTACATGTACAATGTTTTAGTAAACAAAATATATTTCTATAGTTAAAATTTGTGCAATTCTTATTTTCATTCAATTCCTTGTTCCTATTGTGCAATTTAATTATATTCATATCAATAAATATTCTACCGAGAAAAAGACGTTGTCACGTAAAATCTTCGCCCGTAAAACCGACTTTACAGGCAACCATTTTTTTATTAACTAAGGAGGGAAGGTACGTAAATAGCGCTCTGACTCCCGATTTCAAGACAGACTAGATAGGTATCACACGCTTGAAATTGTATGGTCTAATTGGCCCTTTATACACAAACGGCACATCTCTTTTGAGACGCTTTTGAATTTAGATGAGACAGTCTCTTAAAGCTCTAATTATGACATGCAGAATTTTTAATTTTTAATTCTGGAATGTCCGTTTACTATGATTAATTTCTAATAAAGTAAAAAAACAATAGAGAAATAATACTGAAGAACATTTTCGTAGATGTCGTTTGACGTTGACGAATACTTTATGGAGCTGTCATAAATTTGTGATTAGGCCTCTGTTGACATGCTCGCGTTACCCATTATATTAGTATGTGTCACGTCCTTGTCCATTTAGACCAAGAGCTACTGAATACTCCGGGTAGCGGTATGTCTGTAAGGCTAGGAATTCTTATGGTGATGAGTCATAGCATGCTCAGTACGGTAAGCAACACTAATAAACAAAATTGTATTAAAATTTTAAGCCTACAGAAACAAGTTTTTTTTTATATTTTGTAGACAATTTCAAAAATATAGTGATTGATAACGTGCTGGGCTGAGGCGTGCCAGGTGATACTTACCGTACTGAGCATGCTATGGTCGTCACCATAAGAATTCCTAGCCTTACAGACATATCGTTATTACTTGGTGGGTTCACTAGATCTTCCACTTATTGTACATATATGCTGGGCGGATGGACTGAATGCAAACGGGTAATAAAGCATAGCAGCAATTATTGTTAGCATGCATCTGGATTCTTCTGGGCATGTCTGGCAGAGAGGCATGCTCAAATTATTTTTCGTTATTTTGAAAAAAAATGAAGTTCAACTTAATTCTAAAATTACTTTCACTAAAACTATTAAATAGTTTATATGGCTTCTGCTGCCCCGGGTACCTAAATACGCCCCTGATGTCCAGACTTATGAAATTTTATCTAACTTTCATCTATCTCCGGCTTTGTTTAGCTTAATATTTGCACAATGACAAGTACATAAGAAATTATAGATATTAACGGGATTGTTACCATGTACCTTGTTTTTTATGAGTCTCTCGAACGCAGTAAAAGACGAAGTCAGAGGGTAGACCGATATGTCTGCCAATAACATCTACCCGCAATTACTTCAGTTACTCCGTGATCATGGCGCTTGCAACAGTGCCGAAATATCGGAGACTCATAAAAAACAAGGTACATGGTAACAATCCCGTTAATATCTATAATGTTAGTGACCATGAAAGTTTAAAACAATATACATAAGAAATGCTTCGATCAATGAAATGTCAATATTTTTGAACGGCTATAAAACACGATTTAAGTATATCCTTTTTCTTCTCCATATTCTTCTTATATTCTCCATAGTCATCATCATTATCATCATAATCTTTCTTCTTTTTCTTTGTCTCAAGGTCGTCTATTCTCGAATAAATAGGGGTGATGACGGGGTACAGTAAACGAAATTCTATTTAGTCCGCCAGTTAGATGAGCAAAAAATAATGGACACGTATTTTTTCTTTGGGCAATCAACCAAAAAATGACAAAGTTATAGCGCGTCAAAGTTTGGGAGTAGGGGCTCGTGACGTCACTTTTGAGTGAATTTTCACTTATAAGTGTACTCAAACGTGACGTCATGCGACTTTTCAAATCAATATATCTCTGCAATGTTTATATATATATTATGTGAAAAAAGAAAAAATACGTGTCCAATACTTTTTGATAAATCTACCTGATAAACGAAGAAAAAAAAATAAGTCATCATCCCTATTATACTTTTACATAATATTATATTATATTGAATTATTTGTTTACGTAATGATATCAAATTTAAATAAAACTAGTTTTTACGGGTTAATGCACGAAAACTTTATTTATTTATTGAGGTTTCGTAGTCTTTACAGGCTACGTCGTCAGAATAAAACTTTTATTTAATTTGTCGAGCTACCTTCGAAAGACTTTTATTGAGCGTTTGGTTATTTCATTGTTCGATTTTTAAGTTTTATTGTCTATGTATGAATTTATTATTTAATTTACTTAATAAAGTATTTTATTTAAAATTCTTGTTTGTAATTTTGAGTTTATTTATTTGACCCTAACTACCGTAAACTACCACCGGTTCCAAAATTGGGAGACCTTCCTGAGAAGTACCGGCGAAACAAACTCAAGAGAGGCTTTCTATCTCCTTCTTATGTTAAATTATGCAAACAAAAAGAACTAATAGTATCTGATGGTCTTGCAATATCAAATTTGTATAAGACGGTCGTACCTGTAGTCCTTCAGACACTGTCGCACAGCGTGAAGTGCGGTCCGAACATCGCCACATAACTGTGAGCCGCGCGCCTGAGCTTCCTCCAATTGCTGCTCCAGCCAACGAGCGTTTTTGCACTGCTGTCTGCACCCGACATAATTATATTTACTCGCATAAACCTTTACTCGAGAAACTCGTTCGGTTGCAATCGTTGAAGTTAAGCAACTTTCGCAGTGGTCGGTCATTGGATGGGTGACCAAAAATTTACTATCCTCCATGCTTCGGAAGGCACGTTAAGCCGTCGGTCCCGGCTGCATCTGCAGTTGTTAGCACCCACCAACCCGCACTGGGCCCGCGTGGTGGGTCAAGGCCCAATCTCCCTATTCCATCCATAAAAAAAGGCCTTTGTCCCAGCAGTGGGGACATTAACAGGCTGATGATGTGATGATGATAAACTATAAATAGTTATCATTTCTGGCCCAGTGGTTTGTACGCCAGGTTTCAAGTTGAAACTCGAAAGGTCCCAGGTTCAAATCCCGGAGGAAGCAGATGTTTGTGTATTGAATACGAGCATTTGTACTCCAGTCATGGATGGTTAATATGTGTTTTTTATATAAATATACTTATACATGTATGTATCAGTATATGTATTCTATCCGTTACCCTAGTATCCCATAACACAAGCCTCGTGCTTTGCAAAAAAAGAAATAAAGTTTCCCGTTATAGATTCGCGAACGGATGGCGTATTTTGTAGTCTAGATATTCACGAATGCTTGACTTACATTCTAAAGTTAATGAATGAACTTATACAGGGTGTTACAAAAATACAAATAAAGCTTGAAGGGCGTTGAAGTACATCATATAAGGAGTCTTTTTTAATTTTTTTAAAATATTTGCATGAAGTTTAAAATTAAAAAAAAAACCGTTATTTTTAATGCTTTATAAAAATATCGATCTTTTTAAGACACGTCACTAGTTCGAGGATCATTAAAAATAACTGTTTTTATAAAAAGTTAAAACTTCATGCAAATATTTTAAGAAATTTAGAGAAGACTCCTTATATGATGTACTTCAACGCCCTTCAAATTTATTTGTATTTTTGTAACACCCTGTATAGAAATGAAAACCAGCTACCTGGCCATATTTAACAAAAAACTGATATCAAGAACAATAAAAATATGTTATAACATTAATATGTGGAAAGTTCGGTAGGTAACCTCAGAACAAAAAATAATAATTCTATAGAATCAGCGCTCACACCCGAGAGCAACGACGCAATCGGAACCAAGTTTTGGTCAAGTTATGAGCATTTGCTCACACATAACTGTGGCGCGCCTGTCACGCCCACAAGACCCTTCTGTGTTCTGTGAATAGTTACCTGTAGGTGCGTTCCAAGTCCCGGTATTGTGCGCACACACACCGCTCCCGCGATAACTGCTCGCGAAGAGAAACGCTCTAAACAAAAACAAAAATATTGAGGGCTACCGTTTTCTGCCTCACCAGATGGCGCCACTGTTGAGTGAGGTCCTAAATTGTAACTTTTAAAGTTTATTAATACGCACATGAAATCAAAGGTTACATTTAGATCGTATTTTAAAACAAAAGATCCATATCCTAAACATAATAGGCCATGCGACAGTGACGCCCAGTTCCGTTTTATTCGGAAAAAATGGGAACATAATCATTTTTCTAAGCTCAAATTTTTAATAACTGACATTTATTGCCACATAACTCATATTTGCCATAATTAAGCCGAATTGTTACCAAAAATTCACAATATTATTTTAATAAGAAATAAACCCGCGTAGTCAACCAACAAGCAATAACATTTGACATTTCGGAGGCCTCACGCTACACTAGCGCCTCTAGCGGCGGATTCATACGCGATAGCCCTCTGCACTCATGTGGTTACATGGATGGTTACAAGTTACAAAATTCATAAAGTACCTAACATGAGGGCCGCGGTAGCATAATTGGTCAGTGCATTCGCCCGGATTGAAAAGGGCACCCTTTTCGATTCGAGTCCCGTCTGCTGCCTGGTCCGCGCGGAATTTTTTCTAGTTGTATTTTCTTTTGATTTGTTCTCATGTTCTACTGTCAATTACTTGTTGTAAATACCCTTCGCTATCCGGGCGAATGCACAGACCATTATACTACCGCGGCCCTGATGGCCGTGTTGAATTCTTTCTAGCCTTTCTTAAGGTTAGGCCACTCGCCCAGATAGCAAAGGGTGCGGATTCGAGTCCCGTCTGCTGCCTGGCCCGCGTGAATTTTTTTATAGTAATATTTTTTTTTAGATTTCAACATCGAGTAGTATGTAATTGCTTAAAAAGTAAAACTTTAACTAAAGAACAAATTTTAAAAAAACATTAATAAATAGAAACGCGCTAAAAACATGTATAATGTTAGTGACCATGAAAGTTTAAAACAAAAAAAGGAGATTGCTCAGCTTCCATACATGTTTAGCCTAAAGACCAATAATCATGAAAAATTGTTTCCTAGATTCGAAATTATATAAAAATTACTGTAGAAACGAATATTATTGACGGACACCCCTGAGAACTTCTATAAACCATATACACTGATCATATTAAAATAATAAAAAACAAATAAGTTATATAGTAAACTAGGGAAATCAAGCCAAGTACCGAAATTATGGATTAGATTCAGGTATATAGAGCATGTAGATTAACAGATAGTTGCCTGTTTTTAAAGTTAATGCATAAGAGTAGCTTTTAAAATCAGGTGTCATTTCCGGTTATAATAAGGTACTCTGTGACAGACTCTGTGTGATGATTGTGAATGAGCCACAGATTAGAGAGAATTTTTAAACTCTCGTTAATCAAAGAAGGCTAAAGCCGCGTATCCACTAGGGGCAGCCTCGGGTCGAGCGGCTGCCTCAACCTGAGGCACGCCGCGACGCGAGGCAAATTCGTCGCCGCGAGCCGAGCCATATTTTGTCGGTTTCTGTGCCGTGCTCAAAGGCGCCTCAGTCCGAGCCGTGTGTTTAATGGAGACGGTCGCTAAAATTTCGAAAGCTATCGCCACCTTCCAACGTCATGTCCAATAGCAAGTGTTCACATCCATGTATAGTTCTATTGCGGTATAATTCTTTTATCCACCAGCGATGCTTCCTCTTTTATATAGCTTTTTGTTGCCTCCTCTTTTTCTTAATAATGGTTATTGCTATTAAAGCAGCAGCTACTCGACGCGCTTCTGGTGCCATCGCGTTTTGGCTTTTAACTGCGCAGTGCGCCGCCAGCGGATCAAGCTGAGGTGACACGCCTCGAGCTGATCCGTAGCCGTTGCCTCAGAGCGAGCAGCCTCAAACTGAGGCTATTTGCTTCAAGTAGAGGCCGCTCGACGCGAGGCTGCCTCTAGTGGATACGCGGCTTAAGAGATTTAGGTTCTATAGCCATATATTCAGTAGCTTCGTTATTTTTGTTATGTTTTTAAGATAACCATATTTTAGATTTTTACTATATCACACCTTATAATTTTATTTATTTAGGTATTACATTTATAGTCAGGGAACGCAGGCCCATAGATAGATAAGTCTAACATATACAGATTATAATGTGTTTATATTTTTTTTTTTTTTTTTTTTTATTTGGCTTACAAAACTGGTTACAAAGAATATCCATATAAATATATGCATACAAAAAAAATACATCAACTACTTTGCAACCTACTAGATGCAAGCACAACATGCATTTCTAAAACTACCTAACTACTAAGGATATATACTAAAGGATAAATATAGTACATATAGGTTAAACTCTAACTAAAAAAATTAAGTGAAAGTTAAAACTAAAAACCTAATCAGAGAATATAGAATTCAAACATTTTCTGGTTGAGGCCATAGAACCTTTAAATATGTCGAAATCATTTCGAATAGCATTATAGGTTGACAACATTCTATAAAGAGGAGAGTGATTCCCGAGTCTTGTCTTACAGGGGGGCAGTATAAAAGTCTTTCGATTTTGCAGCCGGCTATTAATTCTAGGAACTGAAAATTTTATATGCTCTAAAATATCTGGTGAGTCGATGTGACCATGGATTAATTTAAATAAAAACATTATATCCGAAACCTTCCTACGCCTGTGTAAGAGGGCTAACCCATAATGTGTTGTGCGAGTCTGATAAGAGCGAAGTTTTTTACAAATGCCATCTGAAAAAGCTAGGTGGTATAAAAATCTTTTTTGGACAAGTTCAACTCGGGTAGAATGTATCTGGTACCCCGGATTCCTAACAGGACTAGCGTATTCCAAAATGCTGCGCACTATACTGTTGTAAATAAGAATGGTGAGTTGGGGTTCCTTCAGAATTTTCATTTGACGAGTAATAAAACCAGTTAGTTTGGATGATTTTTTAACAACTGAGTCTATATGAAACCTGAAGCTAAGTGAACTGTCCATAATAACTCCTAGATCTCTAATTTGAGTAACCTCTTTAATGAGGACGCCCTGGATGAAGTATGCTGCACTGGTAGCGTTTATCTTTCTGCTAAATTTTATGTGAAAGCATTTACTGATATTAAGTTCCATACCATTGCGTCCACACCATTCTACTACGTTATTTATGTCTGACTGAAGGATATTTATATCGTTTGATGTGTTAACAGCTCTGTATACTTTTAGATCGTCGGCATATAGTTTGAATTGGGAACTTATTACTCCAGCAATATCATTGATAAATATTAGAAAGAATAAGGGTCCCAAGTGAGACCCTTGAGGTACACCTGATGGTATGGTCCTAGCTCTAGATTTATATCCGTGTATAGCAACCAACTGAGATCGATTTCTCAGGTACGACTCGCACCATCTCAAGAGTGATCCGTGCACACCCATGTATTCTAGCTTTTGAAGTAAGAGGTCATGATTCACAAGGTCAAAAGCCTTTCTAAAATCTGTGTACACAGCATGAACTTCGCCTCTATTGTCGAGAATATTATATAGGGAGTTAACATACGATAAGAGATTGGTAGTAGTTGACTTACGAGGCAAAAATCCATGCTGCTCCGAACTAAGAAGACCTTTAACATGGTTGTAAAGATGTTTCTGAACAAACGATTCAAGAATTTTACCAGGTGTGGACAAAATTGAAATGGGCCTGTAATTGCTAACATTGTTTATATCGCCGTCTTTGTGAATCGGTGTGATATATGCCCCCTTCCAGTAAGCAGGATAAATTCCAGACTGCAAGGAGAAATTAAATATTTGAGTTAAAGGTTGACTTAGGTATTTAGCGCAACGTTTGTAAAATACTGGTGGTAAAGAATCTGGCCCGGTTCCTTTATTAGGATCCAATGATAATAAGTGATCAAGAATGTCTTTTTCAGACAAGGAAAAATTAAAAAGTGCATGGTTTTTATTGTCGTGTGGCTCAAACTGAAGGGTAGGTGCCAATGGATTCGCAGTATAAACAGTCTGGAAATATTGTGAGAACAAGTCACAAACTTGCTGACCACCAGTGCCCGTTACATTATTAAACTTGACCTCATTGGGTATTGATACCCGGCTCGACTTTTTATTCTTAATGAACTCCCAAAAATACTTCGGTCTATCGCGCAAATTTACTATAGCCTGTTCTTTGAATTTTGTATAACACTCCTTAATTAATGCATCACAACGATTTCTTAAAATAATATAGGTGTACCTATCCAGTGGGTTGTTATATTTTTTGTGCCTAGAGTGATATTTGGCTTTTTCTTTAAGAGCTTTAATTAGTGGCTTACTGTACCACAAAGGGTATTTAGAATCGTGTTGAGTTTTATAAGGTGTGTGTTTAATTATTATTGGCATAATACTGTTATAGAATTTATTTACCATATCATCTACATCTTTAACTTCACTCCAAATAAGTTTCCAGTCCAGTAAAGCTAACTCATTATTGATACTCTCGTAGTTACTGGCCCAAAAATTTAACAATTTACTCTGTCTAGCTTTGAAGTATTTTTTACAAGTATTAAATGAAATATCGATAACTAAGGGGGGATGATGTTCATCATTTCTCTCGAGTAAGGGATTCTCAGCCACGGTTGTTCTGATATATTCCGGTTTATTGCAGAACACTAAATCAAGTATCTTATTATTCTTGTTGGATACCGGATTGCATTGTAAAAGGTTATTGAATGTCATTGTGTCTATAAAGAGATTTTCAATATTACCTGTAGTTGAGATTGGACAGAGATGATGAAATCCCTTATCTACATTGCGAAACCATTCTATGTTAGGCAGATTGAAATCTCCCACCACTAATATAGAAGAATTTGTAGGAATGTTGTCATGTATATTAAGAGTAATATTATTTAAAATATTTTCAACATAGTCGATTTTAAGCGGTGGGGGAATGTAAACTACACAGATATATAGGTCCAGTCCGCGTCCACACTTCAAGGAAAGCCACAACTGTTCTCCCAAAGATTCCCATTGTTTTCGCCTTACCGGTTTATATTTTTTAAGCACAGCTAACATGACACCTCCCCCATCTTTTCTTGTTAGGTGAGACGAAGTTGTGCATCGGTCTCTCCGGAAAATGTCGTAACGATTATCAAGAATTTCGCGGTCAAATACGGTATTATTCAGCCAAGACTCGGTTATCGCAATCACATCGTAGTTATTGCTTAAAGCTGAAATATATAGGTCCTCAGTCTTGGTTCTTAAGCCTCTTACATTAGAGAAATATATTTTTAAATTCATAGGGAATGTTATATTTTAAATTCTAGATAACATGCATTGGCTATGGGGCTTACAAACTCTTTAAAAATTCTAAGTTATTTACAAGCTTAGCAGGATCTTTATGGGATTTTCGAATAAAAATACGTCCATTCTTGACCCACACAAACTCGTATTTCTTCTCTTTGGCAAGGGATCGCGTTGCGGCATGAAGCATTTTGTTCGCTGGTGATAAGTGTTCCATCACATAGACCGGTTGCTTATCGGAGGCTATACCAAAGTGAGAAGTATTGAGCTTCTCCTCCCCTTTTCGTTTGTTAAACTCCTTGACTGCTGCCAAAACCTTATCGCGCGTTCGCGCACTGGAGAGTTTGACCACAATATTTCTCGGGCGTTCCGATGTCGGATTTTGCTTGGCCACCCGATGAAAAGCCAGTATTTCGGCATCAGAAACACTGCACGACACTGTCTCCAAATGCTGTTGGATAAGGGTTAGCAGATTCTCATTTTTAAACTCTGGTACGGATTGTATCTCTATGTTGCATTCTCTTGATATTTGCTCGATTTGGACTAATCTTGAGCTAATATCGGATACTTGAGCTTTTAGCAGCAAATTATTCGTGTCCAATTCTCTAACCGACGCTTCTAAGTCCTTATTCAGCTTGATCTGATCGTCATGGCACCCAGACAGAAAGTTCAAGGACTCCATCACGCCATCCAAATCAGTCCGCATTGTGGAGATTTTGATGGTCAGATCTACCATTTCCGTTTGCACTGCTGACAGAATGGAATTAGATTTTTCAATGCTAGCTTTTTGCTCTGCAAATTGCCGATTCATATCCATTCTCAATAGGCGAAGCTCCTCCAAAATTATGTCATTACTCCCTTGCAATGGCGGTGTGGTGACAGTTGACAATTGGCAAGAGCTTGGTTTTAGCATTCCTGCGCTATGACCAGGGCGTGCAGGAGAACTGTCGTCATTTCTTCGCTTGGTTACATTGACACAAGATGGACACTTCAATTTTGCCAGTTGCTTAGAGTTGACATCCGTGACACTAGGATGGTGAATATTCAGACATGGCAGACAGTATTTTGAATTGCAAGCATTGCATTTGAGATGATTATTTTCTATTAAATGCTTTTCACAGCCAGTGCAATTCATGTTCTTAAATTATATACGGAGTAGGTATGATCTCAAAAATACAAAAAAAAAAGTCCAATTAAAATATTATATTATTTCTCGGCGCACAGTAACAAAGGCCCCTGCTGCATAAATATTACTCACTGCAAATGTTGTACACTAAGCAAGGCCCCGAGACTTGAGACGGAGTTTGTGTTCGTCGCGGGAAGAAGGTCGCAAGCGCCGTGGAGATGAGGGCGCTTACGCGTTTGCTTCAAACGGCTCACAAATATTTATTATGAAGGTATTAGTGTGAATCAACTTGCAGATGTTTATCTATCTTCGCATCCTAGATGCATTACAAGCACTAAGTTTTGTCACTGCGTGTAATTTATATTGTATATAGCCGCGGATTAACTTGTTATTATACCAAGGAAAGCACTAAATATGGATGAACAAAATGAATTGTGCCGGGAAAAACTGTGTACATCCAAACCGTAAGGTAGGTAAGTTGGAACTGATGGTTGGTTTATGGAGGTGTTTGGCGAAAAATGTATGGCAATAGACTTTATGATGTCGCCTACCGTCTATAATAATTGTCTGAGCACATTTGCATCTAGTGAAAATGATAATATAGTTGTGGATATTAATACCACATTGTAATAAAAATATGATTTTATTTATCGATCTTTACAAAATAGATTTGTTTTTATGTTATATAAACAACTTCGATCAGTCTTTGGCTGAATGTTACTACACCCATAGCCATTAAAAATGATTCGTATGTTTTCCAAACCGGTAAAATTAAAAGTCCTTTTTAAACTAAATATATTATACAAACGTGTCCGTTGAAATCTAATCACTGTAAATCTTTATATATATAATTCTTCTGTGAGTGTGTATGTCACTGAACTTCTCATAAACGACTGGACCGATTTTGATGAAATTTTTTGTGTGTGTTCAAGGGGATCTGAGAATGGTTTAGATTCACAATTTTGTCCGCTGGACAACCCCTATTTTTTTAGGGCGGTACGAAGTTTGCTGGGTCAGCTAGTTAAATTATAAATTACGCCAAGAATTACCGTGTATGTCAATATTTTTTGTGCATTTAGGCCAATTTGAGCAATCTCCTTTGAAAATTCTTTCAAAAGTCAAAGTTTTTTTTATCACAATGTGAACTAGATTATTTTAAATCACATTCATTAAACATGGATTCGGATGGGTAATAGTTAACATTGTCATTTGTCACCTCATCGGGCAGCCGCTGCAGTCGTTCCCGCATCGCAGCCGCCGCCGCCTCGTGCGCCGCCGCCCGACGCGACGACTCCTCCACGGACGCTAATCAAATTATCATTTACATTACATTAAAATTCAAAAAATTCAAAATTCAATATCGCTTATTCAGTCTAGGCTGTTACGAGAAAAAAGCAGCCCTTGCTGAGTTTCTTGCCGGTTCTTCTCAGTACAAGGTCTCCCGCCGTAGATTTGCGAACCGATGGCGTAGCTTTTCGACATTCACAAGTGCTTGTAACAGCCTAGACTGAATTAATAATATTGATTTTTTTTTTATTATTATTATAATGGCTCGCACGGTTTGTGCATTGGTCACGACAGGGTAGAAGGTAAGGAAACCAAAATAATGAAATAAATAAAGGTTGTGAAACGGAATTTGGAAGGATTAGGATCAGGTAGGTACATAAAATTAATTTGAAACGTAAACTGTAATAGGCCTTTATAAATATATAAAATATAGTTATAATTTTTATTATTTTTAAAGCATGTAACTGCTTGATGTTTAAATCTTAAGAAAATATAACTAGAAAAATTCCACGCGGACCAGGCAGCAGACGGGACTCGAACCCGCACCCTTCGCAATCCGGGCGAATGCACTGACCAATTATGCTACCGCGGCCCTCACGGACCGCGTCGAAATTCTTTCTAGCTATTCTTAAGCTGCAAGGCAGCGCCATCTCTTCGCATTATAGGTAAACCCACAATGTCAAATGAATACTTTTACAAGTATTAAACATTTGAAAGAAGAAATAGCAATTATAGTTATAATTTTTATTATTTTAAAGCATGTAACTGCTTGATGTTTAAATCTTAAGAAAATATAACTAGAAAAAATTCCACGCGGACCAGGCAGCAGACGGGACTCGAACCCGCACCCTTCGCAATCCGGGCGAATGCACTGACCAATTATGCTACCGCGGCCCTCACTCATAACCAATAATATAATATATAAAATATGTTATATTATTGGTTATAAATTACTTATAATTTTATGTTATGTTTAGTTAGGAATTCAGATAGCTTGTTATATATATTATAATTTTTATAATACAATAAGGAAGGAATATAAGTAGGGAGAGGTACATTAAGGGATATTAATGAATCCATAAAAGATGAGGAATCATTGAGGGGACACTCGAAGAAGATGTGATTTAAGTCCTCTGCCCCAGTACCACAAGCACAAATATTATCATTAGAGATCACTATATAATGTGGATCAAATTATCATTTTTTTTTAGTTCTATTCTTCTCTATTGAGAAAGGCAGAGGCAGAGCCATGCAGCCATCGTCTTATTTTTGTATTAATCTTCTTTTTGACGTGACAACGTCTTAAATTAGGTTGCGGCTGGGAGTCACTTATGAAAAAGTGTAACGCTCGGTAACGTTACGATGAGTCTCTCGTGTTAAGTTTAAGTTTACATGTACAATGTTTTAGTAAACAAAATATATTTCTATAGTTAAAATTTGTGCAATTCTTATTTTCATTCAATTCCTTGTTCCTATTGTGCAATTTAATTATATTCATATCAATAAATATTCTACCGAGAAAAAGACGTTGTCACGTAAAATCTTCGCCCGTAAAACCGACTTTACAGGCAACCATTTTTTTTACATTAGAATGTCGGTGTGAAGCATTCTAATGCTTCTTGGAGTGTTTGGCACGAAATATATCGAGTTGGCTTTTTCGATAAGCTTCTGGAAGGTAGTCAATACTACAATAAAATTCTCACGTCCACTTGACCGGAATAGCGTAAAGATTCCACTAATTCTTCAGTTGTTTTTTTTTGCCTATACAGTAGGACACTGCATTCCTAAACTTTGTTAAAGCAGATTTTTATATAGTCATAATTTTTATATTATATGCATTTGTAATGGAAAGTGACTTTATGAGTTACCTCATATTGAAGTCATTTTTCAATTTGACGACTCTGTATACAATACAGGGAGAAAAAAACAGCCCTTGCTGAGTTTCTTGCCGGTTCTTCTCAGTACAAGGTCTCCCGTCGTAGATTTGCGAACCGATGGCGTAGCTTTTCGACATTCACAAGTGCTTGTAACAGCCTAGACTGAATACGATCTTGAGTTTTGAATTAAATAATAATACATAAATATATTTCCAACACACACCAATTCATGGATGTTTAAAATATGACGTATTTCTATAAAAATATACTTATATATGTACAGTGTATGTATTCCATCCGTTACCCTAGTATTCCATAACACAAGTCTTAAAGTGGTTGATTTGGGACTAGGCTAATTGGTGTGAGTGTGTAATTATCCGAGCCCCAAAGTAAACACTGTAGGCTTGTGTTATGGGATTCTAGGGTAACGGAAAGGCAACTAACGCTCCATAATAAGTTCATTTCACCGATTGTATATCAGCGAATATTAAGCTCAATGGCGCAAGTGATAAGCGCTTTCGTTGAAGTTGAGCACCTTTCGCACTTTTAATATCTCGAGCTCCTCCGTGGTTCGAAAGGCACGTTAAGCCGTTGGTCCCAGCTGCATCTGAAGTCGTTAGCACCCACCAATCCTTCACTGGGCTAGTGTGACACGGCCTAATCTCACTATTCCATCCATAGGAAAGACCTGTATCAGACTAATGATGATGATAAGCGATTCAACAAACTGTGGCGGCGACATCTATATGCCCCACAGATATACAACGGATGTAGGAAATCATTACTCACCATCCTCAAGAGATGGCGTTACCTGCACTGCGATCAATATTAGTATAGAAGCCTACATCGCGCAAATGAAATTCGAAGGCTAACTCTTCATATATACGATGCCCGACCAACATCACCCAGCTCAGAGGAAGATCTTCCCCTTTGGCCGGGGAATTTCATTTGCGCGATGTAGGCTTCTATACTAATATTGATCGCAGTGCAGGTAACGCCATCTCTTGAGGATGGTGAGTAATGATTTCCTACATCCGTTGTATATATGTGGGGCATATTGATGTCGCCGCCACAAAACTTACCCTGGGCTTGCTTCAATTGCGCGGAGAGTTCTTCACAGGCTGCGTCCTTCTCCGCCACGCTCTGTTCCAACACTGCTATCCGCTCTCTGACGGTATCCAACTAGAAAGTAAAGAAACGAGGACAATTCAAACTCAAACGCTAATGATAGTTAGGGGCTGTTCAAGTATTACGTAAGCACTAAAGGGGGGCAGGGGGTCTTTGCTTTGCTTATTTTTGATGACATAGGGGGGTGGGGAGTAGAGATGGTGATTACGTCAGCATCATCGATTAAGCCTTTTTAAGTACTGCTGCACATGAAGCTCATGAAAGCTCATGAATCAATAAAAAAAACAGAATATATTAAAGGAAAAATGCATATAGGTACCAAGGTTTACGTAAGGATGGGGTAACAGCTTTGCTTACTTTTGCTGACGAGGGGGAGGAGGGGTAAATAATTGTAATAAATCTGCTTAAGTAATACTTGAACGGCCCCTTACTTGGTATGAACACACACATCTTCAAGATCGATGTAAGTGTGTATGTGTGTATGCTCATAGTCCTGGCAATATTAGTAAGTAAAATAAAATGGAGCGAGGAGCTCGATGGCGCAAGTGCTTAGCGCGTTCGACTGCGATCGTTGAAGTTAAGCAACTTTCGCAGAGGTCGGTCATTGGATGGGTGACCAAAAATTTACTATCTCGAGCTCCTCCGTGCTTCGGAAGGCACGTCAAGCCGTTGGTCCCTGCTGCATCTGCAGTCGTTAGCACCCGCCAATCCGCACTGGGCCCACGTGGTGGATCACGGCCCAATCTCCCTATTCCATCGATAGGGAAGGCCTGTGCCCCAGCAGTGGGGACATAATCGTTTTCATAAAAACTACTAGAATCCACCTCATTCAAAAAGATCATCGTCTTTCTAACACTCGGAATGCAGTTTGTAAACATCTTAGGCAATGGAATATCTTACAGAATATACTTTATAAAAGACTATCTGAAAAATAAATAACGTTTGCCTACTTCTTTATTCCTATCTTCTATTTCCCTCTTGTACGGTTCCACGTCTTCCTTTTCCAAGAGCGTCGTTTCCAGATCACTCACTCTCTGGCGTACTTCACCTAGTTGGATCTGTAAGACAATTTATAAATAAATCTTTAACAGTGGCTTGATGTCCGAAATTCGAATTATCCGCTCTATCAGTTAAGCAAAGAAATCTGGAGTAAAGTTAGGCAAGTTTAATACGATTCAAATAAGAATAGGAAAGCCAATGACCTTTATCTGTCAAATGTCGCTTGAAAAGTACGGTTTGCAAAAAAAAAACTTGGAACCCTTTTTTAGCACTCCGCTAATTCAAGAATAAAAACCAAATATTTGTAAACAAACAATAACAAATATTGATAATTAATATCGGTTGATATTTTTTTTTTCACTTATTAAGCTTTGGCCATGAATGGTTGATCACCTAAATCGTCAACCAAATGTCACTTTAAGTTGCGTTCAGAAACTCGATTTCAAACTTTCGTTTACATAAAGATTGCATGTTCGTATGTGACCTAGTAATAGTGCATGATTATTCATAACTACTCCGGCGGTAATGCAGAGATGAGCGGAATATAAGAGTTAGATTCTAATTCATGTTTTTTCTCACAGTGTTAATAAATAAATATTATTAAAAACGGTGGTTTTTTTTTCTCAATCTTAGTAAATAAATGTTATTAAAAAAATCTGATGCTTTTTCTCACTTAATCTTAGTAAATAAGTTTTATTAAATAAAAACTTTTTTTTGCTCACTCTACCTATTTGGTTTGAATTGACCTTCACCGAGCTGATAATAGAATTAATCATATTTTATAACAAATTTAGTATGTTAGAAAATATGTTGAAAATGGGTTGCCTAAAAAAATCCTGGACAGACAATTTTTAATTATTTAAAAAAAAATGTTTTTTTTTTATTTTTGCAACATCAAGATAATAAGAAAATTTTTACCCTGACTTAAAGTATGAAACGTATAGAATGTGCAGCCGTTGGGTTGCCTATTATTTACCTGGACAAATTACTCGGTTGTCAGGTATAAACAGGTATGTCGATGCCAGTTACTTTCACTCAATTAGATAATCGAAAAAAAAATATAGTTGTCTGCAAAAAACTTGGTCCTAATAGGGGTTTGTGAATTTTGAAGATTTTAATTTTAACGCGAGTGGAAATGTGTGACAGAGAGATCCGAATTGAGTATAGCGTGTAATAATAAAGGACACAACATGGCACAACTGACATTTAAGTTGTAAATAATAATAATTATAATAATATTATAGTACTAAAATATTAAACAATAAAACCTCAATTAAATAAATTAATAAATATATATAAATGAATTTACTTATTGACTTATAAGTATCATTATATATTTATACGAGTTTTTTTAACTCAAAATATAATGACGTAAATAATACAAATATCAATGTTTTGAATTTTTTTTTCTCTTTCTGGAAAAAATTATGAGAAACAAAGTGGACAGCCGCAAATTCAAATTCATGGATAAAAAAAAGATACGACTAAAAATCTTGTATTACGTTTGAAAATTTTATTAAAAAACAGCATAAATACAAAAATAATATCAATAAAAAATAAATTATAATAAATATTTTCTATTCTATATCTGATTCATCAGAAGTATAATTTTGATTCTCGAATTCATCTGACTCATTATTAGTTTCTTCCTCAATTTCTTCCATTTCGACAATGTCCTGGATTTTCAAAGGAGTTTGATCTCCGATAAAACCAGTTGGTTTTAAAAAAATCATCTAAATGACAACCGTAGCTTACGTTTCATACTTTAAGTCAGGGTAAAAATTTTCTTATTATCTTGATGTTGCAAAAAAAAATAATAAAAATTATAAAAAAAAACATTTTTTTTAAATAATTAAAAATTGTCTGTCCAGGATTTTTTTAGGCAACCCATTTTTAACATATTTTCTAACATACTAAATTTGTTATAAAATATGATTCATTCTATTATCAGCTCGGTGAAGATCGTTTTTAGTTCGGATCTTAGACTATTATGAATCTACGTAAATGACATATAAAGTGTGCTTAGATTAAAACAAAATGGGACGATACGGCACTCGCGGCTCAAAGTGATCCGCTTAAATTGTGGTGCATGACCACAATTCGCTTTAGTCAAAATTCTACCTTAGATTAAAACAAAAAGGAAAGATACTGTACGCTCATACTAGCATCAAATAAAATATGCTCCGACTCAATTACATGAGCAACTCTCACGCACGCACACTTCTGTAAATAAACATTCAATTGAGCGAAACAGAACTGTACCCATAGCACGAACCAACATCGAATTCGAATCGTTTGCGAGTCCGAAATGTCATTGTCAAATGTGTACTGATTTTCAGTTCTCGTTACGTCCTTTGTGGCGCTGCTGTTCAAGTTTCCATACAAAATTTGACATTGAAATTTCGCACTCGCAAACTATTCGAATTCGATAATGGTTCGTGCTAAGGGTACAGTTCTGTCTCGCTCGATTGAATGTTTATTTACAGAAGTGTGCGTGCGTGAGAGTTGCTCATGTAATTGAGTCGGAGCATATTTTATTTGATGCTAGTATGAGCGTACCGTACCTACCCTTTTTGTTTTAATCTAAGGTAGACAGTTGTCAACATTTATAATAATATCAAAAAACCAGTCTCACTTCCAAGCTCTCGTTAATATTCTTCAGTCTCATATTCTCTTCGTCCAAGCCACATGTGCAGTCTACCTGCAAAATAATAGAGTGAATAGGAATATTAATACACAAGTTTCTACACAAGCGAGATTCATTTTCGACCTCAACAGCACATTGAGTTTCATTGTCTGAGTCCTATTGCTTGTCTATTATTTTAAATCAAAAACCATCTTCATGCTGTATGCATGCTGTAAAGCTGGAATAATTAGTGTATTGTTCATCTCAAAAGATAAATCTACGCTAGGTTTCTTCCGTCTTTATTTCGGTGTTAATGACTTTATTTTCGTTTGTATAAATATTTTTCAAAATCAACTTCAATATCAAAATCAATTTCTTCGTTCGATCAATTTGTGTTCAAAGATGATTTATTAAAATGAGTAGCATGCGCGTAACAAAATAAACTATAAAGGTGGGTAGTCAGAAGTCACAATTTTATGGAAGCCAATTAGAAATGAAGAAATTAACTTCTTAAGGATAGCGCAGTGTGCTAGGCCGCAGCGGGACGGGTCGCAGCCCAAAAATCCGCCCAAATCGCTCGTATGTATTTTATATGAACTATCGCTCACTGCCGGTGCACAGCGGGACACAATCCGCCACGGATTTTGGTTGCGTGTCAATTCTCCCCCGCTCCGCAATATGACATGAGTTCCATATATTTTATGTCAAAATAGAAACGTCAGGTTAAAAATTTGCACTGAGAGCGTAGATTTGTAAACGTAGCCCAGTACACTGTACCCGAAATCCGTCAATGCGCTGCGACCCGGGCCGTCACTAATACTAAGGCGCTTTGCAGACGACGGGGCGGGGCGGGCTTTTTGTCCGCAAAGCAATAAAAACCGCGTCTGCCCGTCGATGTCTGCGGCTGCCCTCACCGCGTACACAAAGCACACGACGGGCAGAGGCAGTCGGTTTAGGACGTTCGTTCTAGTGAATAGTCAATCACTAATAAGCGCGTGGCGCGGACTGAGCTGACCGCCCTGCGCCGCCGTCTGCGTTACTGCATATAAACTGGTTTGTATGATCCACGGCGGGCAGCTGCGGACCTGTCGCGCCGCAGGTGCCCGGCGGGCACTGGCGTTTGTAGTATAGGATTCACTTTGTGCTATCGTTCGCGGCGAAATTGACCGGCCCACCCCGCCCCGTCGTCTGCAAAGCGCCTAAGTAAGCATTTTGCGATACACTGCGGCCCGCCATAATATGCGCGATCCTTTAAACTTCGTTTTAGACTTTAATCTAAAAAAAATACCTGTGCATTATCCTTTTTTTTAGTCACATATCATATTTAATATTGTTCCACAGTATAAAGTGTAGGTATAAAACATTGCAATCCATTTTGCATGAAGGGCATTGTTGCTATTAAATACATATTACCAGAATATTATCGACATATTTTTCAAATACATAGATGTTATTTTATAGAAAAAATAAAAACACACAGCATTCATTGTTAATTATTACATTTTTATTTCAATTAATAACAAAACAGTATAAAATATGAACACAAGGTGCTCATAGTGTATGTGATCAATGATCATATAGGGTGCCATTGGCCACCGATGGTGATCGGTGGCCATTCATTACAGGGACTTGTTGTGGTCGTTCGAGTTTGTAAGCAATTTCATTTTCCTTCTGTTTCAGATTATGGAGCAAAACATGCAATTTATCATTCTTCTTTGAGTCGCCGCACACGGGCCACACGCCACAGACACAAACGCCGCCACGAGAAGCTAGAAGCGGCTACTAAAGTGGCTGAAGCGCGCGACAGCGCGGCCGACCAAGGTAAGGGAGAGAGGGGTGGGGAATCGCGCGAGTGTCGTGTGGCGGCGTTTTGTATCGGCACTTTAAGTGGCCGGTGCGGGCCACAAGAAGCGAGCAACGACGATTTGTAGCGTGTGGCGGCCATCAGCGTGCCGTGTGTGGCGAGTCCATATAAAATGTATGAAAACTACAAGAAATATGCCGGTGGCGGCGTTTAGTGGTTGTGGTCGGTGGCTCGTGTGCGGCGACACTTTGATATATTTCTATAAAGAAAGCGCTCACTCGATTGGATACTCATCCTTTTCTCGTTTCCTCAGGCGTGCACTTAAACTACAACGGTCACTTTTGTTTTAGTACTAAATAAAAAGTACATTACCTAATTAAAAAGTGCCCAATAGGGATGATGACAATTTTTTTTTTCTTCGTTTATCAGGTAGATTATGAAAAAATATTGGACACGTATTTTTTTCTTTTTTCACATAATATAAACATTGCAGAGATATATTGATTTGAAAAGTCGCATGACGTCACGTTTGAGTACACTTATAAGGGAAAATTCACTCAAAAGTGACGTCACGAGCCCCTACTCTCAAACTTTGACGCGCTATAACTTTGTCATTTTTGGGTTGATTGCCCAAAGAAAAAATACGTGTCCATTATTTTTTGATCATCTAGCTGACGGACTAAATAGAATTTCGTTTAGTGTACCCCGTCATCACCTTTTATTGTCAAGGATTTTGTCACTGTTTAGTATGGGTGTTAGTAGTGTTATGTAGAACACCATTATCGTAATAGTGGCGTACAGTTAACATTTCGCGCAGCCGTAGCAGCTGATCCGTGATGTGCCGCAGATCGTCATCCACTCCAGCCTCCCCGAGCCCCTGCCCCTCCCCCTCGCCCTGCATACGCGCCCCGCCTCGCTCCCACACCCCCTGACGCAAGGAAATGACATTACACTCACCTGTATCATCATCATCAGCGCTTGACAAAGAACACAGAGAGGTAAGAACAGCGTTTCCTAACCTTTCCAATACTGCTACCCCTGATACCTATTAGGGAAACAGATTTTACCCCGACTTTAAAATGTTATCATCAGTCCAAGAAATTCCAATTTGGCCGCTACATCTTCGTCTCTACTAATGTCATTATCAGGAGAGAATCTCGCCCCGCTTCTCACACTTAGCACCCCGCGGGCTCACTAGCAAGAAGGAGCGCATGCTATATTTAGTAGTATTATTTAGATTTGACCAAATAATTAGGTACTTTGTTACCCCCGAAGTATGGCTGATTTACCCCCGGAGGGGTAATTACCCCCAGGTTCGGAACCCAGGGGTTAGAAGGAAGGAAGGGAATCACCGACCGTTTGTACGGCAACCGATGTCGCCGGCTCACAGTGTTTTAAGAACCTCGATTTTGTGACATGCCCTTTTTATCCCCAATTTCTATAAATTAAGCTATTATAAACACTGGAAAAATACTGAAAAATTACTTCGCCTCTTAGTTTTCGAGAAAATACAAATCAAAGTTGACCTATTTTAGAAATAGATTTTAAAAAAAAATCATTTAGCTCCTCTATTGTTATTCATATTGTTTTAGTTTTGGTTAAAGGTTTATATATATATAGCTTTGTATTATACATCTTTTCACAAATTTTGAGTCTTCTAAAGCAAACCGTATAGACAATATGACCTTTTTTGTATTTTTCGATTTCATTTTTTTTTTCTTATGAAAAACGGTGTATTCGGATAATATTTATACATGAAAATATTGAAGATTGTTGTCCCTATATGTAGAGTATTTTTAATGCAACCGAAAACCTCGTTATGTACGAGTTATAAACAAAAACATTAATTAAACATAATTCCGGTATTAGGGTTGTCACTATCGGTACTGAGTATTTAAAAATAAAATGAGTTCCTATTCTATATGTTAATAAGCATTCTTTTAACACATATTATATGACCTATTTGTTGTTATTGGATAACAGAGAGAATATAACTTGCGGCGGCTCGCCCTCCTTACACTTCCACCTAATAGATAATAGCCAATCAAACGGCGCGACATCAAAAAATATAACCAATCAGCGATCACAACCGAGAGCAACGACGCAAAGGCCCTTCTAGCATCCTTCTGTGTTCTGTGACAAAGCAGGCAAAGTTTCATACATAATATAAAGCGCGTACGCAGAGAAACAATTAAAGCGACAAGGATGATTTTTGACTGTGAATGACAGTTCAGGGAGGGCATCACTGTGTCTACGTTAATGATCGTAAATCATATACAAAGGAAGAAGGAGAAACTCGATAACGCAGGAGGTTAGCGCATTCGGCTGCGATCGTTGAAGTTAAGCAACTTTCGCAGTGGTCGGTCATTGGATGGGTGGCCAAAAATCTTCTATCTCCAGCTCCTCCGTGCTTCGGGAGGTACGTTAAGCCGTTGGTCCTGGCTGCATCTGCAGTCCTTAGCGCCCGCCACTCCTCACTAGGCCCGCGTGGTACCCACTATCTCCAATGTCCAATGGCCTAATCTCCCTATTCCATCCATAGAGAATGCCTGCGCCCCAGCAGTGGGGACATTAATAGGCTGATGATGATGAGGATGATATACAAAATAAAAATATGACGTTAACAAAGATGGCGGCGTTGGTTTCAATTTTCGCCACATTCATAAAGAACCTTGTCGCATTATTTAGCTTTTTATTACTTTTAATATGCGCTACTAAAAACATTGACTGTAAATACTGAAATTGTGGCAAAATAGTCAATATAGAATATCAATTTATTTATCCAAATCTTAACGATTGAAGCTTTGATCATCCCATGGACCATTGTAGTTAACATAGCATCAGATGGGTCAGTGTGTCAGTACCGAATCATTGTTGGAGCTGTTCAAACAGTTGGACGCGTCCAACTTCAGGCTGTCCGTCTCCGTCGCAATGTCCTGCGAAAACAAGGCATTGCTCAACAAAATTATGTACCGAAGACGTCAAAATATATTATATTTAGACTCAGAAAGATTTAAAGATGAGAAAGTACGAGAAGCATGTCACATAGATGATGATAAACATGATTGAGCTCGATGGCGCAAGTGGTTAGCGCGTACGGCTGCGATCGTTAAAGTTAAGCAGCTTTCGTAGTGGTCGGTCATTGGATAAGTGACCACAAATTCTCCTCTCCAGCTCCTCCGTGCTTCGGAAGGCACGTTAAGCCGTTGGTCCCGGCTGCGTCTGCAGTCGTTAGCACCCACCAATCCGCACTTGGCGTCTGCATGGGGGT